GTATGAAAGTGACATACTTCAAGAGCTTATCCACGACTACAATAATGCTCCCAAAGTTCTCTAATTTAGGCAAAGCCACTATGTAGTCCATGGTGATTGTCTTTCATAGTCTCTCTTTAATTGGAAATGGCTACAATAAACCCTCGAGCATTCGATTTTTAATATCCAACCGGCACACAAGGTACGTTCTCACATAAGACTCCATATCATCGCACCACTACGATAAAAAATATGCTCTCTCCAATAAGACATTGTTATCCCGGATGTACAACTCACATCGATTCATGACATTCTTTCATTAGATCACATCAAATGTTTTCCCATTTAGGCACATAGATTCTCTTTCCCTTTTATGTAGAGAATGCCATCCTCCTCAAAAAATTTTGAGTCTTGCCCTCCTTGGTGACAAGATTGTGTTTCATTCTTTTTTTTTTATTTTGGCTATGATCGCTCCATTTACCTTTATCATATCATATAACTCAGCCTTCCTACTAATTGTATCAACCATCATATTAGTCTTACCTAGCTTGTACTCAAAGACATAGTCAAATTTAGTAAGAAATTCTTACCATCGAGTCCGCTTTGACATTAGTTTCTTTTAAGTCCGAAAGTAACTCATGGCTACATTGTATGTCTTTATCATAAATTAAGACCTTAGCAAGTAATGCCTTTAAGTATGTAAGAAATGCACCACTATGATATTCTCCTTCTTTTGCATCGAATATTAACATTTGATGTCATTTAGCTTCCTACTCTCATAAGCTATAAGATGTTATTCTTACATTAACATACCATCTATAACAAAATTAGAAGCATCAATATGTACCTTATATGGTTTGGTTAGGCTAGCCAAGCTCAATACCGGCTCCTCAATGATAGCTTACTTTTACTCTTTAAAAGCTTCTTGGTATCATTCATTCTACTCCTATCTCTTATTTTTCTTCATCAAGTTAATGAGAGGGGTTATCTTCTTTGAGTATTCACAAATGAAGCAACAATAGTAATTGAATAACCTAAAAAAAGAGCAAAGCCTAAACACATTGGTTGGTCTTTTCCTTTCTAAAATAGTTTTGATTGGAGCCACATACATCATCAATCTTCCTCCTTTAATCTTATGTACTAGGAAGAGTACTTCCTCATTTACAAAGGAGCATTTATCGCTTTTAACATATAACTTGTTCTCTCTTAGTACCTTGAATACAATACATATATAGTCTAGATGCTCCTCTAATGTACATCTATAAACCATGATGTCATCAAGATATACCACTAAGAATTGATCGAAGTATAATTGGAATACCTTATTCATTAAGGTGCGAAGGTAGCTAAGGTGTTTGTCAAGCTAAAAGGCATGACAAAGAATTTTTAAGAATTATACCTTATCACACACGCTATCTTTGGCACATCTTTAATGGCAATCCAAACTTGATAGTACCCCATCTCAAATCAAGCTTGGTGTAGAATAAAGTTTTTTCCAACCGATCAAACAAGTTAGCAATCAATGAAATCGAATAGTTATTTTTCACCGAGACCTTGTTCAATGCTCGATGGTTTATGCATATTTTCAACGATCCATCATGTTTCTATTGGAACAACACGGGCAAACCATAAGGTGACTTGAAGGGTTATATTTGTTCAGCCTCCAACATAACCTTCAATTACTTTCTTAATTACTTCAACCCGGGAGGGGTCATACGATAAGATGCCATAACCGGTGGCTTAGTACTCGACACTAATTCTTTTTGGTTATCAATCTCACTCTTAGGTAGCAATTTCTTAGGCAATTTTAATGGCATCGCATCATCAAATTTAACTAATAAATTGACAATCTCTTTGGGTATCTTTACACCCTTATCATATGTCGATCAATCATCTTTTAACATCATCAAATATGTGATTTCTCTTTTCTTAAAATCCTATTTCACTTGCATAGCTGAAAGATGCTTCATTTTTGATCTAGTATGCACCTTCGCCGATACCACGCATGATGTCTCTTCCTTTTATAATCATAATTTGCTCCATGTGGGTATAGGCATGGATTTTCCTTGTTTGAAGAACTTCATGCGTAGTATAACCTTAAAGTCATCCATTGCAACTATCATGAAATACAACATTTCCTTCCATTCATCTAAGCTAAGGCTTACTCCATACGCTACACCACTTAGTAGGTTTTGGAGAAAGATTCACCATCTTCATGCTACTTGATGAAATGGTCACCATCAAATCAAGTCTTTTAGCCTCATCCTCGATCATAAAGTTATATGTGGCACTCGTGTATAGCATAACGAGTGTAGTCTTACCATTTATATTAATATCTACGTAGATAAGCCCATCTTTTAGTGGCATCTTAGATGAAAGCTTGACATTCAATAAATTGAGAAGCCACAATGATCCCATATGCTTCTCATGCTTAAGAGCATATTTCTTCTCTTTTATCATGGAATTGAGGGCTTTTCACTTCGGGCACTCTTTCTATTAATATGGCCCATTGTAGAATTAGTAACCTTTGGGCTTGAATTCTCTCTTGTCATGCTTTTTGGAAAAACCTTTGAATTTATATGCTTTGTCTTGCCTATCTTTATATCCTTTTTTCTTATAGGATTTCTTACCTTTATTTTTGAAGTCTTTTTTGAGTTTGAAGAGTTCTATCTTCTTTTTATACTTGATTAGGGATTCAGCTATGACCATAACTTTGATAAAGGTCTTAGATCGTCGACTTTGCACCTCTTGTTATCCCTATGATTGAACTTCTTTAATAAAATCATACATATGATCATAGTCATATTTTTCATGTACCCAAAGTTTAAGAAAGACATTCTCTAACATACCCGTGAATAGTTCTCATATGCTTCAATGTCCGTAACTTATCCTATACTTCCCAATCTACTTCCTGGGTAGAATTGAACATATGCGGCTTCTTTTAATTCGTCTCAACTAAGTAACTCTTGATTCTTCTCTTTAAGCTCTTGTTGCTTTATATGCCACCGTAAAACACCATCCTTCGTACGGTAAAAAGTAATAATCTTGAAATGACTCTTATTATCGTTCAAGCCCACCTCTCAAATTATCAGCTCCACTTGCCAAAAGAAGTTATCGACTTCCTTGGCATCTTGTTTGTCAACATAGTATCTTGATCTTGACACTTCAACTTTTGACGTGTCCCTCAAGTCCACTCCATTAGAGATGGCTTCTCGTTAAATTACCTAATCTCTTCTAAGTTATTGAAAAGTTTGCTCATACTTGATTAAAGAATTTTGATGTTACTTAAACATTTTCTTTGTCTATTCCATGAAGGCATCCTTTTAGATGACATTTTCTTTAAGCACACCTCTCAATCGACTCTACTCAAGCTTGGAGATTAGAGAGCACTTCACATAGGCCTGCTATGCCTAGTGTCTCCCTTTCATCATCTTCCTCTCGTCTCCTCGAGTCTCTTCGAAATCGACAAGGTGTTCCTTTTCCCTTAAAAGCCTCTCCTCCAAGGCAACCAACACCTCACGAGACTTCTTCTTTCTTTTCTTAGGTTGAGGAGGTAAAGTCTCTTTTCTAGTTTTCCTAACAACATCCTCAACACCAAAACTAGACATTTTTACTTTTTAAATAGTTAGTTAGCCGTAAGTTTAACCACACTTAATAGAACTCAATTTTGATACCTTTTGTCACGAACTTGGCTTTTTTTAAACTCTCATGCAACACTTGGCTCATTTTATCTTTAAGCCAAACTAAGTCGGTCTTCTTTCACACAAAGTTGTTAAGCAAGAAAGACACACACAAAAGATAGACAAACTTTTTATATTGCTCTTTAAAGTTTACAACTCTCTTAGAATACAACTCTTATATTTCTCTCATCGATTGGATGCCTTGGCCAAATGAAAGCTTTCCCTATTTATAGTCCTCCATCTCCTCAATGGATGATTATAATCTATTTGATCTAATGGTTACACATGATTTTCTAGAATTCTCTTACCTAAATATTTACAAGAAACTATTTAGAAATATATATAAACCAAAACAATGAAGGACTTTCCAAAACTCTTTAGAATATGTCTAGATTTATTTTGGATACTTTAGAGGCTTCTCATTGCTCCGTAATCTTCAAGTAGCTTTCGGACTTATCTAATGTTTTCAATTAGCCTTTAGAAAAGTCTCTTTTTCGTATGAGGCATAACAAGTGTGAATAAGCTTTTACCGACCATAGTAGTCATCTAAGAATTACCTTATTGCGACTAAATTGGCAGTTCAAAGCTATGCTACCACCCTGTAATGACTATGATAGCCAATTTCGTCATTTGAATCACTTTCATGGAAAGGGCTATTATTTAGCCTTGTTAACGCTACGTGACGGTGATGCAGAAGATCTTATTATATGGATAATCATTAAAAATTAAATTGGAAATATCACATGGAATGTAATAGCACTAAGTTTTGTATTTTTCAGTTCAAGAATCTTTCTTATCACATGATAAATCTCTATCATGAGCGTGCCATGAAAAAAGAAAAAAAAAGAAAAAAAGGAGAAATTTGCCACCTTTTGCACAACACATGGGAGATCAACAAAACACTAACAACTTGGAGAAGGTAATTATCTCATTCGGGTTTTCTCCTATATGGATTATGTTTTTGATTTTGTTTTATTGAGATATAAAATCTTTTCTTATGATACTTTTTGTTTTTAATTTAAAGTAGAATTTATGGAATAGTAAATACCATCTAATTTTTTTTTTTAAAAGAACTGATTTTGATAAATAGTAATAAAAAAGAAGAAGAAGAAGAAAAAGACCAACCCCACCCGGAGTCATTTCCCAACTCAATTCTTTTGGTTCAGACAACGTCGCTTTCTCTCTTCTCACTGTCTGGGTTTTGAGCTCATTGGATTACAGAGTTACTGTGAATGATATTCACGAGGGACCTGTTTATGGTATCGTAATGAGAAGTTTTAGCCATTGGTGTTAATGGATTAACCATTAGAATTGATCCAGCGAAAAACTTCATTGGAGATCATGGAAGTTGCCCCTGTTTTCCTCGCTATTGTTCTTGAGTATCTTGCAGCTGAGGTATAAAACAAACCCTCTGGCTTTCTTTTTCTTTTGTTTCCTATATTTGTGATATCTTTTGGGGTTAGTGGGTTTTTGGGTACTGAGAAAAGTTTGTGAAGTTTGGGACTATGAATATTTTGTGTTTTTGTAGATTTTGTGAATTTTTGGTACGTGGGCTTTTTTTTGCTTTTCAAGATTTAATTTTGTGTGTTTAATTGATCTTGTTAAAGCTTTGATGCAATTAGTTGTTTTTCATTACCGTTGAAATGTTTGGTTACTGAGAAAATCCGGGAAGCAGTAATTAGTCCTTTATATATATATATATATGTTTTGCATTTATTTTATTTCAATCAATTGGTCCCAGTTCATCATGGAGTGTTTGGTCGCTGAGAAACCATGAGAAACAAAAAAATTTGTTTTATATTGGTGCTGATTTTTGGTGTTTTTTTTTTTTTTTTTGGTTGTTGTCGTGAATGCGCTGGAATTGGCTGGAAATGCATCAAAAGAAGAAGACTAGAATATTCCCAAGGCACATTCAATCGACAATGAGGAACTGAGCAGGCTGCTTTTCTTTTCTTTTTTTTTTTTTTTTTTTTGCATTTTAGGTGTTAATTGTTTTATTATAACAAAAGGTATAAGTAAAAAATTTCAAACAATAAAAGATATCAATCAAGTAAAAAAAAAAAAAAAGGTTTGAATAAATCTTTTTTTAAAAAAAATCCTTGCTCAATCGCATTTCCATGAGGCAGGTACACATACATAAACAAAAAGGGCAAAAGGAAGAACGATCACGAAATCTTTCACATGCAAGTGATGTAGCATTGCCTTTTTTTAAGCCCCATGTGGTGAGCAAGTGAAAACAATATCACAATTTTGTTTGAACAAGAGATTCTCTTTTAATAAATACACTTGTTTTTTCCTCTGCTCCTTGACATGAATATTTAATCGCATAATTAACATATCATTTGGCCTTGCATTATGACATGCATATTAATGTTATGGCACGTATATATACTGAATGCCTTTGAACGGATATGTACTGTTTTTCACATTATAATTAGCATCAACTGGACAGTTGTCTCGTGTCCCAACTTACCAGATCTTCTAAATTTTGCATCAAATTAAAAGAAGAGTAAATAGATCAAATATCTCCAATTTTAGTTTATTTAAAAATTATTATTTGAATTTTTAATTTTGAGTTTCACCTTTTTCAATTAATTTTTTTTTATTTCATATTTAATTCATGTGATGATTTCTAACTTCGTCCCCATTCTAAGAAAAATTAATTCTTGGTATTTTGATCTGAATTTTGCATAGAAAAAAATCTAATTTATTTTATGAAAAATTTTAGAATTTTTCAAGATTGGGAATCATATTTGTATTTGCATTGTTTGAACATTAAAAATGTAAAAATTAAAAAAAATAATAATAATTCAGAATGATCTCAATTTTTTTTTGAGAAATTTCAGATAAATTTTATTGAATGATTTATATCATGGGACTATTTATGTAATTAAAATTTTCTTACATAAAACTAAGGAATATACTCGATCTAACAAAAAAAAAAAAAAAAAAAGTCAAATTGGAAATTAAAACTTCAAAAACTAATTTTTAAATAGATTAAAATTTAGGAGAGAAGTTTGACCTATTTAGTGTTAAATGAATTATCACAGTCATTCATGTTCTTGACACTTTCTTTTGACGGCAGATCAAATTGTTGGTTAGAATAATGCCTCTTTTTTAAAACCTAATTAAGACGCTAGCTAGCAGCGAAATGACTGACTACCTTATAAAATAATAAGCGGCTTTATATGTATCCAATTTTGAGTTACATCGGATTGCAAAATTTAGCTCACTAATCATTTGAATTCTGATTTTCTTAGCTAACCTTTCTGCAATTTTAATAAAACAAAATTTGAGATTTAACTTTTTGTCTATCTAACTTGAAAACATATGGTCAAACTTCATGAAGGATTTGTAAGATGTGTACAGTCGAACATGTTATTATTCTTCAAAAAATGGAAGAAAGAGAGAGGGTGTTGTCTTCTATCAACACAAACATGTGGATCCTAGAGCAAAATGTATCAAACCCGTGTACCCCTGATTAGAATTTAGAATGTTTCAACATCTCGTTACTTGTCCCAGCTAAGGTTCAGCATTCTAATAATATAATTAATACTGCCACTAATTGTGTGCTTAAAGATTAGAGAGGTTAGACAAGGAAAATGAACAAACCTCGAAGGGGTGGTGTTTCCCCGAAGCAAACACCTAGTCAAAAGGGGGACGCACATAAAACATACCATGTGAATGCCAACAAATCTTTTCGTCATTAAAAAATATTTATCTTTCTGATTGCATACTTAATTATCTATTCATGACCAAGGTGGGCCAAATGCCATTGGAACGTTAATGTTCATGCACCAGCCACTACTAGTCCAACAGGCTCCAGGGTCCTTACTGATTATTGAGCTGACACTATATCTTTGTCCTTTTTCAGTATTTGTCTTTAGCGCATGTATTTAATTTACATGGAAGAAGCAATTTTAGCCTAAAATGAATTTCGAGGGACATGCCAATAAGAGAAGGATACAGGCATTACTGGAAGAAAGCCAATACTGAGCATCAAATGAATCTGATCGCACTATCCTTGTTCAGTCTATTGAGGACTTGACAGTTTTGGGATGAATTATTCATTGGTAGCTAGGTAGGTGTAATAACTTACAGATGGGTAAGCTTTATTTGGATTGAATGAACTTAAACCAATGGTTTTCTTACGAAGTTTCAGTGAAAGTTAAAAATATAGAAAAGGATCTAGATGGGTCTCGAAGTTCCTTGATCAAATCCATTCCAAGGCACTTAGTTTTACCCAAATTTACAATTTTTACCTTTCCATGAGATCTACATCTAACGTAACATCTCACTAACCAATTCTGACTATACATAGCGATTAGAGGAGGTTCTAAACTATTGGCAGTATAATATAAGCAAAGGCAGGCAGTACTCTACGCATTAATGGGCCTGTCTCCCCAACAACAGCTCTCATCCTTTCATCATCATCATCATCTAGCAGTGTCTCTAGCTACAAGGGTTTCAGAAGCAACTGGACCCCTGCCTTTTTGGAACTGGGTATTGACAGTGAAATAAGATGACTTCGTTAATAGTTTTGGTATCAAGGTGAACTTCACCTGGGATCATTGAAAAAAAACCTTGTCAAAAAAGACAGTGAAATAATCAACCAGCAGGGATAGGATAAGCACGTGTTCCCCCTTACTACACTACTCGAAGGACCCCACGATCCTACAAGATAATACGAGTTCTAAATTCCATGATCCAAAGTGGACAACTCCTCCCCACCCTGAGATGAGTATTTTACAAGGGTTCTGCATGTTCTTGACCCATTTTCACATGGTCTTCTGCACCTCCCCATTTCTTAATATCAAATGTGGCATAATTTCCAGTTACCAATACACCCTTTCAGTACTTGATGGCTACACAATAATGCGCCTTGCCTGCAGGGGCATAATTGGCATCTAAGAAAATTCCATAGAAGGCAAGGAATCTCTGCCAATAATCTTCCAGGAGGATGGCATGTGGACAAACCAGGAACTTCCTCTCTGCTTCTATTCTCCCTCCCAGACTTTACCTAATAAAACACAGCACAAAAAGCTTATCGCCCCCTGAAAATGGTAGTTACAGCAAGAGAAAAATATAAAACAATACAGAGTTAGGATGTCAAAAGAAGGGTGCAATCAAATTCCGTACAGTTAGTTGGATCATTATGGTGTTGAAAGCGATAGTTGATAAGCAGACAGGAGAGACTTGAGGGATCTGAATCCCATTTGTTGCTTTCTTATATGTTCTTGCTCATGAGGTAAAATGATACCTTAGAAGGATTTGACAGAGATGGGGAAGCCAGGCAAATGGCTTAGAAGTTTCTTGACAGGGAAGAAAGACAAGGAGAAGGAAAAGGGTACAACTAATCAAAATTCCTCACCTAGGATTGAGAATCCAGCGACTCCAATTTCGATCCCACCAAATACTCCAAAAGAAAAACGAAGATGGAGTTTTCGCAGATCATCAGCCACAGCAGCTTCTTCCAAGGACTCGAATTCTACAGAACCAAGTGCCACCACACCACCACCTGCAGTGCAGGGTACGTCCTATTCAGAGAATGAACAGAAAATGCACGCGATGGCTATGGCAGCGGCTGCTGATGTAGCTGTGGCTGCTGCACAGGCTGCAGCTGCTGTGATCCGTCTAACTGCTGCCACCTCTAGGAGAGCCAGCGCAATCGAAGAGGCTGCTGCCATAAAAATTCAATCAGTCTTTCGATCTTATTTGGTATTGAAAATTCTCGAATTTCCCATCGGTTCTTATCTAGTTAACGTGTCAGTCTCAAGACTGAAATTATATTAAAAAAACCAAAGCTTCAGAGATGAAAATGATGAATTGCTTGATTGGTTTTTGGTATTTTTGACAGGCAAGAAAAGCATTGCGTGCATTAAAAGGCTTAGTGAAGTTGCAGGCACTTGTAAGGGGTCACCGGGTGAGGAAACAAGCAACTGCTACACTCCGGTGCATGCAGGCATTGGTGAATGTACAGACTAGAGCTCGGGCTCAGAGGATCTGGATGGCTGAAGACGTAAATCCCAGCCAGAGGCAATCAATCCACAGAAAATGGACACAGGAGAATAGGATTAGGCACACAAATTATGTAAGATAAATTCTTTCCTTCTGTTGAACTTTCCAGTTCATGACCTTGCTTTCTGTTATCAAACAGTGGAGCTATGCATGCATTTGACAAGGAATGAATCAGATTTCCTGATAAAGGGGAAAACATAATGCTGCATTCCTTGATTAAAAACATTTTTCTTGACTATATTCTTTCCATTCTGTTCAGCAGTAATTATTAGTGAAAAATAAGCAAAACTGTCTGAATTTTAATTTAAAAGAATAGTGCTATGTGGTATATATATAATGAGTAATAAATGTTTAGCAATCTCATCTAAAATTAGCAGAACAATATCTTTCCTGTTTTTTATTCTTAGTACTTTGCTAACATCACATCAAAATACAACTATTTAGAGTTTCCTTTTTTTTTTTTAACGGAAAAATATTAGCTGTAATTTCTGGCATTGTCAATGGCAAGCATATGTAAATTAAAAAGTGATTCACGTAAGAGAAAATTAGTACTTTGAAACCACTATGAGTGATCTCTGCAATCCTGTTTCGGTACAAGTAGGAGATTGATAGAGGCATGGAGGAGAACATCAAGATTGTGGAGATGGATGTTGGAGAATCAAAGGGAAGCATAAAGAGCAGAAATAGCTACTCGCACCATTCCCAAGATCGAGCAGAGCATAGATTCTCCACACATTATGCTTCAAATCAAGCATACTCGAAGCAAGAGAACAACCAGGTCTCTCCAGCTCCATCAGCTCTAACAGATATGAGCCCCAGAGCCTGCAGTGGCCATTTTGAGGACTATCCCTTCAGCACAGCACAGAGCAGTCCCCAGTACTACTCTGCAGCGTCAAAACCTGATCCATCAAGACTTCCATTTGCCTTTCCAAGACCAGACTACCCAGAATCTCTGTCCTACGACCACCCATTATTTCCAAATTACATGGCAAACACAGAATCTTCAAGGGCCAAAGTTCGGTCACATAGTGCACCAAAACAAAGGCCAGACTCATTTGAGAGGCAACCAAGCCGGAGGAGGGCATCAATAGAGGGAAGGAACGTCCCAAGGGCAGTGCGGATGCAGCGGTCGTCTTCCCATGTTGGAGCCACTGCTCAAAATTATCAATATCCATGGTCAATTAAGCTTGACAGATCAGCAGTATCACTTAAAGATAGTGAGTGCGGATCCACCAGTACAGTGATCACAAACACCAATTACTGCAGATCTCTAGCTGGATTTGAAGTGAGTATGAGGCATCCTTTAAGTCATAATAACAAATTATGAATCAGAAGGAAGAAAAAAACACTAAACAAAGTAAATATGTCAAACTGGTGACATATATTACTCCAAATCTAATCAGTTGAACCATTGCTTTTTAACCTGCAGGTTCATGGAAATAGGTACTAACAGTACTACCCAGCCATTGCTACTCGTTACTCGGTATGGTGTGTGCCCCAATAAAATAACATATGCAGACACTATGCAAGTTAATTTAAGCAGGGAAGAAACCGAAGAAATATTCTAAATGTTCTGCTGGATTGTTGTACAACTTTTCATTCCTCTTCATCGTAGCGTTAAGGTGAAGTAAAGTGTCGAAACCCCCTATGTAGAGTCGTCTTCTTTTTTCATTTTTTTCCTTGATTTGGATTAACGTGTTCTTAGAGAAAGCACGAAGGCAAATACAAATTTTGTGCCAGTAAATGCAGGAACACAGTTAATTAACTATTTTAATTATCATGTGTCCACAGAAATTTATTTAATAGTGAATTCTTTTTCTCAGATTCGCCTTTTTTGTTGCTTGTGATTTCATATTCATCCTGCAAATGCCATTCGTTTCTTTGACAAATAATTAAGGGTAAATAGCTCTATTTGTATTGAGCCTCTAATTTGTTTCTATTTTTCTAATTATATCTATTTTTTCTTGATAAGGTTAAATTTTTCAATCTATCATTTTGATCTATTCTTTTAACTATGATTAAATTTTTTGACCGAAATATCTCTGATTGAAATGAAAAAAAAAAAATCTTAAAAAATGAGACATACAAGTTGTGTGATTTTAAATGGTTTTTTGCTTCTTTTTTTTTTTTTTTGTCTTTTTGTATTTTAATCAAGAGTGTTTCGATTAAAAAATTTACACAATCAGATAAATTGATGAAAATAACAAATTTAAAATTTAAACATTATTTAAAAACATAATATATATATATAATTAAAAATGTAAAGATAAATTAGAAACTTACACTATTATACAAAAACAGATTGAACTATTTATCAAATAATTAATTGATCATATAAAAAAAAGGCAAAACAAAAATATCACCCAATTTTGAACAGTAATAACATACAAAAAATAAAGGATAAATATTGCTAAAGCTTGCGAGGATAATGATAGTAAACAAGGCTAGGTGATCAAGCATAATCTGGGGTGCAGTTGTGAAAAAACTACTTATCACCGGACTATATAAATGTTCAATAATTCATGGAGTGCTATCATATTGACTTTTTATGGATCAACTTTAGTCATTTGTTAATTTCCGGAAAAGTTGACGATGCCAACATCAATGTTGTAATTAAAAACTTTGGTGAATTCATACTCCATTTATATGGTCCCCGTATGCAATTAAATTGTTAACGTGTCCATGAATTTATTGAAGAGTGAATTCTTTTTCTCATATTCCATTATAACAAAAATGAGTTTTAGCGACGGTCAAAAAACCGTCGCTAAAAACATAGATTAGCAATAATTTTCTACACTTTAGCAACGGTCTAAAAAATGGTTACAAAAATTAAATTTTGCGACGGTTTTTCAGCAAAGGTCCACCAATCCGTTGCTAATGTTATAGGCCAACACTTTTAGCGACGGTTTATAAATTTAGCAATGGTCTAAACCGTTGGTACATATTATTTAATATTTTTTTAACGGTTTTATAAAAAAAAAATCCTAAATAAAAAATAACTTTAGCGACGGTCCTAGAACATCGCTATTCCATTACGAAAAAGAAAATTAGCAACGGTTTGGTGTTATTAAACCGTTGCCAAAGTATTCGTTTTAGCGACGGTCCAAGACCTTCGCTAAAACATCGCCAAATCAACCTAGAAACGGTTTAGCAACGGTCTCGTATCGTCACTAAACCGTTGGTAATTTAATTTTATTACTTTAACGGTTGCAAAAATAACCGTTGCAAACGTTAACTTAGCGACGGTCCGTAAACCGTTGGTGGGAAACGGTCAAATTTAATTTTGAATTTACTTTACCGTCGCTAAAAACTTTACCCTTCTATAAATATCGATCGATCGGAATCTACCATTTTTTGATTTTCTTCTCCTCTCTTCTCCTCCCGTAGCGATATCTCTCGCCTTTTTTCCTCCAATCCTTTGATCTCTCTCCTCAAAGCTATTGTTTCCTTAAAATCTCCATATTTCTTCCCTCTTTTCCTCCTCCTTTCAAGTTTTCTCTCTTCCGTTGAAGCTGTCGTTTTCCAACGATCATATTCCGACGAGGTTTTTTTTTCGACGGTTTCTCCCCCTCCTTCTCTTGGTGACGAGTCCACCTAAATCTAAACCATCATTTTAATTATTAATTTTTTCAGTTATTTATTTATGTCAAATAATTAGATTTTATTTTAATTACTTATTATTGCTAGTTTAATTATTGAATTGATTGTTTATTGCATGTGTTTTTTTAATTTGATTATTTAATTAAAATTTATTTTGTGTGTTATTTTAGTGTAAATTGTGAGAGTTAATTGAAATGTTTAATTGTTAATTGTTATGTTAATGTTGTTGTTAATTATTGATTAATTGAATATTATTGTTAACTTTTTAATTTTGTGTTATTTTTTTAATTGTTGATTGAATTAATTTGATTGTTAATTGTTAATTTACTTACTTTAATTTATTGTTAAATTTTTTTGTTAGAAAATATAATTGTTATATTTTATTTTATGTTGTTATTTAAATTGTTATTGTTATTGTTATTGTTATTAGTGTAGCTAATAATTGTTAATTTACTTAAGTAATTCACAATTTATTGAAAACATTATTAATTTCAGTAATTCCTAGTTCATTAAGTTAAAGCGTTAGGTTAGTACAAAATAAATCAAAACAATTTTCTAAAATTAATTTTAAATAAATAAAAAATAAAATTATTAGAAATATTTGTAATTGTAATTAGGAATTAAATAAATAATTAAGTTTGTATTTAAAAAATTTTTTGAAATAAATTTTAAATAGATAAAAAATAAAGTTATGGGAAATATTTGAAATTGTTAGTAATTAAATAGATAATTAAGTTGTATTTAAAAATTTTTTTGAAATAAATTTTAAATAGATAAAAAATAAAATTATAGGAAATATTTGTAATTGTTAGTAATTAAATAAATAATTAAGTTTTATTTAAAAACAATTCTCAAATAAATTTTAAATAAATAAAAAATAAAATTATAGGAAATATTTGTAATTGTTAGTAATTAAATAAATAATTACGTTTTATTTAAAAAAATTTTTGAAATAAATTTTAAATAGATAAAAAATAAAATTATAGGAAATATTTTTAATTGTTAGTAATTAAATAAATAATTAAGTTGTATTTAAAAAAATTTCTGAAATAAATTTTAAATAAATAAAAAATAAAATTATAGGAAATATTTGTAATTGTTAGTAATTAAATAAATAATTAAGTTTTATTTAAAAAAATTTCTGATATAAATTTTAAATAGATAAAAAATAAAATTATAGGAAATATTTGTAATTGTTAGTAATTAAATAAATAATTAAGTTGTATTTAAAAAAGTTTCTAAACTTAGGTTGTTTATATATTTAGAAAATAACTTGTGTGTAACAAAAAAAGATTTTAGATTTAGTAATAAAAGTAATTTAAGTAATTACATAAACAATTAATACAATTACTTTATAACTATTTTGTATAAAATGAATTTGGATCGCTCTTGGATTGACTTTAGATTAACTAGTGGATTATTAAATAAGCGTTTTGTACAAGGGGTTAATGAATTTATTAACTTTGCGGTTAGTCATCCACAAGTGCATGGATGGAAATAAGATACGATGTCCATGTAAACAAAAAAAATGTCAAAATCGTAGTTATGAAAACCCCGATACCATTAAGTATCATTTGCTTAGATATGGGTTTGTGTCTCGGGTATTATGTGTGGAGACGTCATGGAGAGAATGATTTAGCAATTAATGCCAATTCGTTTAATAATGTTGAACAAGAACAAATATGTGATGATCGTCAAGTTAATCGATACCACACAATGGTGATGGATGCAGCTAGTCTATCTTTTAATCCGTCTAACACGGACGAAGACCCAAACCCTTCGCACAAGAATTTTATGATTTATTAGATGCATCGAATAGAGAAATATGGCTCGGGTCGAAAACCATTCGCAGCTATCCGCAATGTCTCGTTTGTTGCATCTCAAGTCCGAGCATCATTTTTCGGAGAGGTGTTATGATGATTTATGTCAACTTATAAAAGAGTTGATGCCTCCCGATAACCGTATGCCGAAGACTTTTATAGTACAAAAAAAATGATAGAAATGATGGGTTTGCCCGTTGAAAAGATCCACTTTTGCATGATTTATTGGGGTCGGGACGACCGGAGAATCTCTTATAAAATATGTGATCATCCTCGATATCGAAATCCTACGTGGGGTTCGATTAGACAAACATTTGTCCCCTATAAAAAAAAATATTATTTCTCGATAACCTCATAATTACAAAGGATGTATGCATCAAATGCCACCGCTAATGATATGACATGGCATGCGCAACACGTGTGTGAGCCCAATGTCATGCGTCATTGTTCGGACTCCTTCGCATGGCAACATTTTGACCAAACACATCCTTCTTTTGCATAAGAAATTAGGAATGTTAGATTAGGTGTTTGCACCGATGGGTTTCAACCGTTTGGTAGGTCCGGACAACAATATTCTTCGTGGCCTCGTCATTGTAATGCCATACAATTTGCCACCATGGAAATGTATGAAAGAAGAATATATGTTCTTAACTATTATTGTCCCCGGTCCTAAGAACCCTAAAATCAATTTAGACGTATACTTACAACCCTTAATTAAAGAGTTGATAGAATTATGGAAAGTAGGTGCTCTTACTTATGATGTGTCACGTAAAGATAATTTTCAAATGAGAGCTGCTGTCATGTGGACAATTAGTGACTTTCCCGCATATTCAATGTTATTTGGTTGGAGTACTACGGGTAAGACAACATGTCCGTATTGTATGGAAAATTTCGATGCTTTCACCCTTCGAAACAAGAGGAAAACTTCATGGTTTGATTGCCATCGAAAGTTTCTATCACAATACCATCCGTTCGAGCGAAATAGGACTCGCGTTCAAGCGAAATTCAATTGTTATAGTACATTGCTCCACCAATAAAGTCCGGAATTGAAATTTTACAAGAATTAAACAATTGGGGGTTGCTGAAAGTAACGGAAGAGGGATCCGATGAGTATAATAATAATACATCTAAATATTATGGTTAGAAAAAACGTAGTATATTTTGGGACCTACCTTATTGGAGTTCTAATCTAATACGTCATAATTTGGATG